ATAATAATAATTTATAAATTATCAAGGGTTCATGAGGAAGGGAGGGTTGGAGGGGCGGGGGGAATGAGAAGCTGATGCCAAAGGCTCAAGTAGAAAGAAAATGTTTTTAAAATGATGATGGCAACAAATGTACAAATATACTTGGCACAATGGATGGATGGATGAATTGTGATGAGTTGTACGAGCCCCTTATAAAATGTTTAAAAAAAAGAAAGAAACTATTGATTAGGGAACTGATCCCAATGATCAACACATAATCTAATCCCCACCCACCCTCAGGGGGATGAACAACAGAAACTATGGGGGAAGGGAGACAGCGGCCAGTGTAAGATATGAAAACAATAATAATTTATAATTTATCAAGGGGTCACAAGGGTGGAGTGGGAAGAGGAGCTGATACTAAGGGCTCAATAGAAAGTAAATGTTTAGAAAATAGTAATGGCAACGTGTACAAATATGCTTGATACAATTGAGGTATGGATTGTTATAAGAGCTGTAACAGCCCCCAATAAAGTGATCTTTTAATAATTTAAAAAAATAGGCTGAAAAGAAACAAACAAAAAAGAGCCATACCAAATAATTTCACTTCACCATAGACCCACCCCCGCTCCCAAGTCCCCTAACAGGGAGTGCTTTTATTTTATACATGGCTCTCATCTCAAGCCCTTCTACATCATGTCCCCTTTCCCAGCTCTTTGCCGTTTAAGGATCCCTGGTGGCATAGCAGCTACTCATTGGGCTGTTATCTGCAAGGTCAGCTGTATGAAACACCAACTGCACCGAGGGGTGAAAGACGGGCTTTCTACTCCCATCACGAGTTACAGTCTAGGAAACCCACAGGGCAGTTCTACTCTGCCCTGGAGGCCACTATGAGTCGGCATGGACTCGATGGCAGTGAGTTGAGTTGTCCTTTAAAATTTTTACATTGGCTTGACCTTGAACTCCGAGGATGCTGCCATGAAGCAAAGGCAGGCTGGCACGAAGCTGCTTCTTTTTGCTTATGAATGTGAAAATGTACATTCTTTTTTTTTTAATAGAAAGGTTATGTGAGCTGGCCAATGAATTGGCAGGTGAACTAGCTGTTACTGCCAAATGAGTCAGCTGAGATGGAACACTAATTTATTTGTATGGGAGAAGCCATAAGAAAGTACTGGCATAACCCAATGGAACAAAGTGTCAAGAAAGTGTAGGTTGGGATGGTGTGATTTAGCAAGCTTCGGAATGTTTCCACGTTCTTAATCAAGACCCGTGCCTCTTGGATTCTTCTGCAAAAATGCAAATGATAGCCTAAGAGGAGGGCTTCATTAAACTATGATCAGATGTTAAAAGTAGATGAAAATTGTGGTATTCAAACATTTGGCTTTAAAAACAGCAGTTTTATTTGTTGCAACCTAATACCTTCCTGCGCAGGTGCCCTCGTGGTAGAGTGGGCTAAGTGCAGGTTTGCTAGTGGAAAGGTCAGTGGTTTGACTCCGCCAGCTGCTCTGCAGGGGAAAGATGAGCCCGCCTACTTCCGTACAGACTTACAGCCTCTGAAACCCACTGGCCCCCAAACAAACGCGCCCACAATCATTTTCATGAGCTTAGGATTTTATAATAGACAAGAGTGGGCGACTTCCTTTCAGGAACTTCAGCTTCGCAGCCTGCAAAAACTCCCCCAAAGATTTAATGAGAGCGTGGTGAACTGATTGAAATGGGGAAGGTTGAAAATATAGGAAGAAAGAAATGAATGTTGTATTTAAAACAACTGTTCACTCAAGTATCTATTGAATGGATGGGACCAAGTTCAAATAGTATCCCATACTTGGAGTTTGGGGGCAGCTAAGCGATATCACAAGGAAACAAAAACCCAAACCCACTGTCATCGAGTTGATTGGGACTCATACTGACCCAATGTAGGGTTTCTGACACTGTCCATCTTTACAGGAGCAAATAGCCTTCTCTTTCTCCTGAGGAGCAGCTGATGGGTTTGAACTTCCTACCTTGTGGTTAGCAGTCAAATGCTTACCTGACAGCACCACCAGGGGCCCCAGGCAGACATTAGGATCTGAGATATGAATATCTGAGGGGGTAAGAAGAGAAGAGTTAGTTGTAAGGAACTGTGGGGAAGCACTGAAGACAAACTTTCTCCAGCTCATCATACTCACAGAGGCATTTAATGTGTCTGGAAAAGAAGTGAAATATCCATTTACTTGGGCCCGGGCCAGGATCCGAACACTTTTTGAGTTTTGTGGAGGAGGGAAGCACTTTTAGAGAAAGGGTTTCAAGCTGAAAGCAAGGCTTGCAGATTGCAATAAAGCCTTTGATATCTAAGCAATGCACTACAAAGAAATGCAATTCATAGAAGAAGTATAAGGAGCTTCAAAAGGTTGGTGGGAAAATTGAGTTAAAGGATGGTGGAAATTCTCAGTGAGCTTTTTGCAATCCCCTGGTATTACAAGTGTTAAAATTATTTAGCATTACCATGAGGACGAGACAAGGGTCTATAAAGGGCTTCAAAAGAAGCCCCTTGTTTGTCCCATGGCATGGCTTCAAAGTCTATTTGGGGATTTGAAGAACTCGTTTTCATTTACTTACTCCCAAATATTTATTTAAGTATTTCTATATGTGCAGAAGAATTGGTGCATTTGTATTATGGTGTTAGAAAAGAATATTGAAAGTATCAGGGACTGTCAATAGAACAAACAAATCTGTCTTGGAAGAAGTAGAGCCAGAATGCTCCTTAGAAGCAAGGCGAGTGAAACTTCATCTCGGTTATTTTGGAAATGATAGCCGAAGAGATTAGCCCCTGAAAAGGACAGCATGCTTGGTAAAGAGAGGGCCAGTGAGCAAAGGAAGACTCGTCAGCAGGTGGATTGACAGAGGGGCTGCACCAATGGGGTCAAGCGTAGCAGCAGTCCTGAGGGTGGTGCAGGAACTGGCAGTGTTTCCTGCTGTTGTAAATGGGTTGCGTTGAGTCAGAACCAACCCTTTAGCGCCTAACTACATCCATCTTCAGCAACATTTTACCTGTATGTGATATTGCAATGATATTGTTCTATAATCTGAACATTCTGTTGGGTCCCTTCTCTTTGGAGTGGGTACAAATACGGTTCTCTTCCAGTCAGTTGGCCTAGTAGTTGTAAATTTCTTGGCATAGACGAGTGAGCGCCTCCAGTGGTCTCAGTGCTTCCGCAGCGAAGACCATCTGGCAATGGCTGCAGCAGTGCGTCGAGAGGGAACTGTCAGAGGTCCAGGTTGGATTCAGAGTAGGACATTGAACAATCATGGCTGAGGTCCAGTTGTGCGTGGGTGAAAGCAGAGAATACCAGAAAGATGTTTTCTTATGTTTCATTGATTACGCAAAAGCATTAGGCAGTGTGGACCATAACAAACTATGAATAGCCTTGAGAAGAACAGGAATTCCAGAACACGTTCTTGTGCTCCTGTAGACCGTGCACATGAATCAAGAAGCCGTTGTGAAGACAGAACAAGGGCATATTGCACAGCGTAAAATCAAGGAAGTGGTGTGTCAGGGCTGTACCCTCTCCCCATACTTATTCCATCTCTATGCCGCGCGGATCATCGGCGAAGCTAGTGTCTGAAGAAGAACTCAGCATCAAGATCGAAGGAAGGCTTATTAACAATCTCCGATATGCAGCAAACACAACCTTGTGTGCTCAAAGTGAAGAGGACCTGAATGAAGTTGCTGATGAAGATCAAGGATCGCAGGCTTCAATATGGATCACAACTTCATGTAAATAAAACCAAAATACAACTGGACCGATACAGATCATGGCAAATGGAGAAAAGATGGAAGTTGCCAAAGATTTCGTCAACAACCTGTGAGGTGTCTCTTAAAGAGAAACGATTGATATGCTTTCTTGCAAAGGAAAACTTTGGAATTCCAGTGCACTTAAAGGCGTCCCAGAAAAAAAAACAACGCCTGGCACACTTCTAAACAAAACAAAACAAAGCAATCAACCCAGCATGGAAATCTCCTTGGAGCACAGTTCTTCTCTGACACATCCGGGGTCCTCATGAGTCAGCGTCCACCCAGAGCAACTGGTATCTGTACAGGTACTGGTACAGGTACCAGTAGCTGGCAGGGTACAGAAAAGATCAAGTTAACAGATTCTTCGTTCCAGTAGCATTTACCTTCAGATATATTTTAAATCTGAATTGTGAATTTGGGAGCACGAGACATTGAAAAGCGCAATGATTCTCCACAAGTGATGACAAAAATCTGTCTTTTCAGTTTTCTATGCTTGAGCCCTGGTGGTGCAGTGATTACAAGTTAGGCTGCTAACCTCAAGATTAGTTGTTCGAAATCCCCAGCCTCTTCTGGGGGAAAGACGAGGTTTTCTACTCCTGTAAACAGCTATAGTCTCAGAAACCTACAGGGGTTCTGTCCTGTCCGAAAGGGTTGCTATGAGTCGGGTTTGAATAGATGGCAGGGAGATTTTGTTTTTGAGTGCTAGAACGCGGGTCCTCTTGGTTGTGGAGTGGGGGATATGTGTGAAAAGATTTTCCCGTCAAAAAAATACACAAACTTGGTGTTTTGGTTGGCAGTTTTAAGATTGCAACCCCAAATGACCTGTGAGGCACCAAGCGAGGCTCAGGATGAAGCAAGCAGGAGTTTAAGAGGAAAATTACTCCCATCAGCTCTCTTAGGAGCCATGGCAACCCCTTGGACCGCTCCGAAAAATCCAGGACTACAACTCCCACAAACCCCCGCGACGACCTCTTCCTCCAGACCGCTTCGATTTCTGGGAAAGAACAGGCGAGTAGGGGGAATGCTGGTCGCGCTCTCTTTGCGTCATCAGCGCGTGCCGCCGTGATTAAAGAGAGGACTAGGCCAAGAAAGTATGGCGGCTACCGAGGCTGCGATGGCGTCGTCGTCTTTGTCTTTGGAAAAAGACCCAGCTCCAGTCCTTGAAAGTTCAGGCACGGCTGCAGCAACAGCCGCGATCTCGCCAGCGACGGCTGCAGCCGCTACAGCTTCGGCTGAAGCGGCCGCGTCTGAGACTGCGGCCGCGACGGCTTCGGCCGCGACGGCCGAAGCAGCGGCGGCGACGGCTGAAGCCGCGGCCGAGAGCGCGTCCGAAGCTTCGGCAGAGGCTGCGACCGAGACCCCGGCTTCCTCGGCTGCGGCTCCGACGGAGCTTGAGGCCACCTCGGCAGAAGCTGCGGCCGCCACTCCGGCCGCCTCGGCGGAGGCAGTGACCGCTACTCCGGCCGCCTCGGCGGAGGCTGCGACCGCCACTCCGGCCCCTTCTGCGGGAGGTGCGACCGCCACTCCGGCCGCCTCGGCGGAGGCAGTGACCGCTACTCCGGCCGCCTCGGCGGAGGCTGCGACCGCCACTCCGGCCCCTTCTGCGGGAGGTGCGACCGCCACTCCGGCCGCCTCGGCGGAGGCTGCCACCAAGCCTGCGACGGTGGCTGCAGCCGCGACGGCTGCGGCAGCGCCTGCGACTGAAGCCGCTGCGGGATCGGACGCCGGTGACGCCAAGTCTGATATGGCTAATAAGCTGCTGTCCCTGAATGGCGTGTTCGCCGTGCACAAGCCCAAAGGGCCCACTTCAGCCGAGCTGCTGAATCGGCTAAAGGAAAAGCTGCTGGCAGGTACTGAGGCCTGGGAGGGGACCAGGCCCAGACCCCGCTGCAAAGGGAAGGCCGCAGAGAGCGCGGGAGCCCTTTGCGACGCGGATGGCTTGAGAGCTGCACGGAGGGGAAGGGAGAGTCACCCCTGGACTGTGTGCACCCAAACCTGGGGCATCTGGACCGGCCCTTTGGGAACTCCTGTAGCCTAGCTGGCAGTTGGCATTCTCAAGGGGGGCGGGAAACACTCCACACCAGTTTCGGCCTACCGGTATTCTGTAATCTGATCTCTCAGGAGCCTTTAGCTTGTTGCACGTGCAGGAACTCCACCGAGAGGAAGTACTGATTCAGTGCCCCTGAAGTTATGCTCTTAAAAACAGATTGAACATACAGATAACTGTTTAGGTAGCCAAGACTTTTCACAGTTATTATCCCATTTTGGCGGCCATAATTACTTGGGAGTCGCTTGTATAAATGCAGATCACCAACCTTTACCTCCCAGAGAGTGTTTCTAGCGATCTAGGATCTTTGGAGGAAATTGCATTCTTAAGCCGATGCCCCAGGTGATAGTGGTATTAAGTAGAGTAGGCCACAGTTTGAGGAACAAGGAAACAACAACTCCTTTGGCTCTTCCGATACCGCGAGAGAAAACTAGAAAAACCCAAACGGGCAGTTCATCGACCTAGTCGGTCATTTCCTTTCAGACAGAAGCATGAAGAAACCCTAGGTTTACTGAGCACCTACAGTAAGCCAGGCTGGTGCTTAGCCCATAAAGACATGGATGTGAAAGTTCTGATCCCTTTCACCGTAGTATTTTCTGCAGCCTGTGATGTTTTCAAAACTAACTTTTTGCCCAGAACGGTAAGAAGTTCGTTCTGTACAGATGTAGCTCTTGAGCTATTCAGCCAACTTGTCCAACGCTCCACATTTGATCCTGTTCTACCTCTCCATGAAAGACAGGAACTGACTTCTTAGGGCCCCAGGGCAAACCACACATCCACACCCCACGCACAAGCCAAACCCCGTAATTACTTCTGTCTAAGTCAGACCCAGTGCCCTAAGAGTTGATCTGATTCATGGCAATCTCACATGCTCCACAGGGTTTTCTTGGCTGGGGCAAATGGCTCAGTGCTCTAGGTGATAACCTAAAGGTTGGGGGTTTGAACTCACCGTGAGGTTTGCTGGAGATACAATCCTGAAGAGCTGTGTCAGAAAGGTTGTTGCCTTGAACTTGTGGAGCAGTTCTATTCTGCTGTCATGAGATTGCCATGCATTGGATAATCCTTAATGAGGTCTGCTGATGGTGGTCTCTTTAGTGCACCAAACTTCAGATTGCTGCAGACTGCCAGCACAATCTGTTTACCCATTTAGAAAATTTTTATTTTCTCTTAGAAAATTCCGGTGGCTAGGCAACTATTTGGGGGGATACCATACCTTGGTTAATGTTAGCACACCTTCATGTTTAGTTTGCAGAATACTTTTTCTGTTTTGTGACTAATCCACCCTTCTTCCTTTTATGTTTCTGATGAGCCTATTTACTTGATTGGGGGTAATTACTTTTGTGTTTTCTAATTACTCTTTTAGAAGCTGGAATGCCGCTTCCAAAATGCAACAAGAGGAAAAAGCAGACATTCAAAATTGGACACGGAGGAACCCTAGACAGTGCAGCCAAAGGAGTTTTGGGTAAGAGATGAATGAAGCATCTGTAACTGCCACGTAATATTAGGAAGACTGGCCCAAACCCTGCTTTCAGTCTACTCTGAATGATCACCTACTGATTGATGTCACCATCATTTTAATGGTTCAAGATGCACACGCCTACAGAAATCATTGTATTTCTGTATGGCTGAGATTTCAGACTTCCCCCCCATCAAGTCCATATGACGTTCTAGGACAGGGTAGAACTGCCCTTTTGGGTTTCCCAGGTGGTAACTTTGTAGGAACAAGACAGCCCTATTGTTCTTCGTGGAGCACTTGATTCAAACTGTTGACCTTGTGGCTAGCACCCCAACACAGTGCTCCTGGTTATGTGTGACGAGGGCTTTGCTGTGGTGGTGGAGTGGTTTCACCTTGGGCTGCTAACTGCAAGGTCAGCAGTCTGAAACCACTAGCCAATCTTCAGGAGAAAGATGGGACTTTCTGTTCCTGTGAAGAGTTGGTTTCAGCACCAAGAGCAGCAGATCTGCCCTTGGTATAAGGTCGCTATGGCAGTGAGGTTTTCAGTGAGGTCTTCCTTTGTAAGAGATTATAATTGGTGAAGAAAATTAGAAATAATCTTTTTCCCCCTAAAAGTTTTTATTTAGCCCATGTTGGCAAGAAATATCTTTATAATGAGCTGAAATAGGATTATTTTCATTTTATTAAATGTACTCACCATGATTACTAGTAAAACCCACATGATGATAGCGGTTACAAATATTGATGGAAAATCTGTTTGATTGCCATTCATTTTTCCGTGTTTCTTGTGATTTTGAACTGTGATGGTGGTATATTTTTCTTTTATCCAACTGAGGGGCTCTCATGGTGCACTGATTAAATGCTGGGCTGCTAACCCCAAGGTCCGGAATTTGAAACCACCAGGCTTTCTCAGGGAGAAAGGTGGGGCTTCCTACTCCCATAAAGAGCTTCAATGTCCAAAACTCACAGGGGCACTTTTACCCTGCCCTGTTATAAGTTAGCTTAGACTTGAAGACAGTGAACTTTTTTTTATACCCAGCTGTATTAATTGATGACAGTACTCCCTTTTTATTTTAAATTGCCAGCTGTTAAATGAAGAAGTGATTGTTTCCTCCCAACCAAACCAGACGGAAGGTGCTGAAGGGTACTGAATCTTTGAAACTGAAGAGACACATGGGCCAGGGTTGTACTTTATACTTGGTTTATCTTAGCGTAAAGAAATTCTCCCTACTTCCACTGTGTCCTTGCCGAGTCCGTGTATTAGTTTGATGTGTTCTATTTTCTTGATTGTGTGGTGGTGGGCATGAATTCTCCTTAAGCGGCTCATTGGCTGTGGTGATGAATTTCGTGTAAGGAGCTCTGTCAAAGACCTTCCTCAGTGGTAAACCGCCGTGTACTTTTCAGCGAGTGCATCTGGAGGTAGTTCTGAAACCCTCAATTGTCTAATTGACTGGGTTGAGGTTTCTACCTTTTTTCCAAATGATGAATTTTATTAATGTTGGGAAAAATACCTTTACTTGAGATTAAAGAGAAACGATTTAATTTAGTTTAGCACATTGAGAAAGAACAAAATTGCTATCTTTCCCCTACTTTTCCTTTCCAGATTTCTTTGTTGTCTGGTAAGTTCGACCGATTGGAGTAACAGAAATTCTAAAACTATGTTAAGAAAAATGCTCTTTCTAGCCTCACATATATGCCAAGGAATTAAGATTTTTGTAATGTAGATATTTTTAAGATATTCATAAAACAAAGTGCCCTAAATATTTTTTTCCTTTGATTTGCAGTGGTTGGAGTTGGAAGGGGCACAAAAATGTTGACCAATATGCTATCAGGGACCAAGGTAAGAATATGAGAATAAGTGTTTTTGTTTTGTTTTTATATGTTTATTATTTTTCTTACTTCCTGAAAATGGTCTTAATAACCTAGATGTAGATTTTAAGTCATTTAAAAAATAAACCATGTCACATGCATGAACAAGTTTCATTACTCTCGAGCACTAATTACAATATTGAACACCCTGACATCTAGATTAAAAATAGGAGGGAGCTTCGAAAATTTCATGGAAAAAATCCCCTTGTCTTTTTGTTGTGAGTTGGTTGAAGGAATGAGCCGCTGGACTTGGGGCTTGGGACCACATTCTCTAAGGACATCAAGATCAGTTTGTATAACATTGGTAACTATCGGTCACTCATTGTCTGGAGGAAAGTGATGAAAATTGAACACATGGAAATTATTAGCCCAGTGGACTAGTGGACCCTGGAAACATCAATCCTGAAGACCAGAGGAACTAGACGATCTTCCCCCGCCCCTCCCTGGCTACCACCATCAGGTGCTCTAAAAAGAATCAGTAGGTCCTGGATAGAGGGGGAGAAAAATGTGCACCAAAACTCAAAATCATTGAGACCCACTGGTTGAATAGACACACACTGGTAGAACCAGTAGTTCACCATAAATGACCCTTCATTTTAAGACCCCAAACCTTCCTAATGCCGTGACCCTTTAATACAGTTCCTCGTGGTTTTTTGTTTAATAGTGTTTTTTTTTTTTCAGTTCCTCACGTTGTGACCCCCCAACCATAAAATTATTTCCGTTGCTATTTCTTTTTTTTTTTTTCCCGTTGCTATTTCATAACTGTCATTTTGCTACTCTTATAAATCGGGTGACCCCTGTGCAAGGGTTCGACCCCCCCAAAGGGGTCGTGACCCACACGTTGAGAACCGCTGATGTAGAACTTTGTGGACTATTTTATGCCAACCCGATGTCCTCTGAGAATGTGGTCCCAAGCCCCTCGTTTCAAAGCCTCGATCCATTAAGGTATTTCATTATATTTAAGCATTGTGAATAACTACTACCGGCATGCTTCCACCACATTCGTGAATACATTTGCAGCAAAGGTAATCACCCATGTACAGGTACCTCCTCCAAAACCTGTGGATATTCATGAGTAGACTCCCACTATTCCACACAGCCTGTGGCTCTCTTCATGATTCTACTTAGAGATGCCGTTATTGTAGGATTGTGTACGTAACACTATTGACTTCTGTTGCCCTTTCATTCTGTTCGCCTCTAGTGTCTTCCCTGCCCCCATCTTTTTGCTGACTTCCTTCTTATTGGATACTGTTTTCCCTCTCACCTAAGTTAACATATCAACCTTCTAGCCAGTAATTTACCTTCGTGTTCCTTCTCATCCCTGGTCATCGTCAGAAAATGTTTTTTTGGGGTGAAACGTTTTTCTTGACTTTCACAATAGTGCCTCAGACAGAATTTCCCTTTGTTTTTTTCTAGAAACATTTTAAAGCCCCCTCATACTAAGACTCAGAAAAACTCACTCACTGCCTCCGAGCAACTAGCCACATGAAGACTAGAAAGTCTTTGAAGCAAAAGCTCTGCTGTGCCCATAATTAAACAAAAACAAACTTTTTTTCCCCAATTTAATCATATTTCAAAAGGCATTTGTTAAATGTTTAATGGTTGGTAGCTGCTGTCGAGTTGACATCAGTTTTCATTGACTGACTTTTGGAAGTAGAGCCCCAGGCCTTTCTTCCTAGCCTGTTTTCGTGTGAAAGTTCCCGTGAGCCCTCTCCAGCCTCGGGTAG